GAGACATTTAATCTCAAAGTAAGTTAACATTTATATTTTGAGATGCAGAAAATTTATTTAAGCTCTAGCATTAAATACATTCAAACGGATATGTACTGATTATTAATTTTTAGGCTGCTATTGAATATAATTTAAAGAATTTTACTTCTGCATGCGAAGCGCTTACGGATATGCCTCCAAGAAGTGAAGAAGAGTTAGATCCAGTTACTCTTCATAATAAAGCACTTATGAATATGGAAAATGATCCAGCTGGCGGATTCCAGAAGCTTCAATTTTTATTGCAACAGGATTCCTTTCCGCCGGAGACATTTGCCAACTTACTTCTTTTATATATTAAATATGAATATTTCGATCTAGCAGCTGATGTGCTCGCAGAAAATATGGCTCTTGCAAGCGAATATCTTCATTCTGATCTTTACGATTTTATAGAAGCTGTGATACTCAGACAGAATGCTCCGCAAGACGCTTATAAGTTAGTATTTCATTTTAAAATTTTCTCATCCTTAACTTTTAATATTAGCATAAATAATTAGTTTCAAGACCTAATCCGCCGGCTAAATCTTCTTTTCAAATTTTATACTCTTAATCTTTTAGTCGTTTGGATCAAATGGCAGCCAAACAGACTGAACACCTTAGAAGGCTGACTAAATCAGTTCAGGAAGCAAGGCAAGCCCAAGATGATGAGGCTGTAAAAAACGCGGTTACAGAATATGATTCTGCTTTAGAGAAATATATACCTGTGCTGATGCAACAGGCGAAAATTTATTGGGACATGGAAAACTATCAGCAGGCAATAAAATTTACCAATTATCAGCCCTATATATTGATGTTTTGTCTTGATCTTCTTACACCTGATAAATCAAATAGCAAAAGTAGTGATGATTAAAGTTTTGTTTTTATTGCCATATGAAAATAAAACAAATCAGTCTTATTTATAGCTTAGATCTTATTCATTTATGAATACCAAAGCTTACATAAGTCTGAAATTCCAAATAAATATTAATTAAAGAGACTTTCATTTCGAATGAAAGTGCATTAAAAAGTCTCACCAGAAGACGACGGTTGATTCCCGTTGTACTACAGTCTCCTGGCTTGGATACGACGCTAGGTGTAGCGTAGTTCCTGAGACGAGCTCCCTGGTTTCGAGTGAAAACAAGGTGAGCTTTGTTCCTTCATATGATGGACACCATCAGAGCTGGGACTCATGCTTGTAAAAGTATCAAGTTAATAGTTGGTTAAAAGGACCCTCCGGCTCTACCTTACGTCTTATATATAATCATAATTAAAAACAAAGCTATATATACATTTCACCTAGAATTGAGTATATATAAGAGACAAGACAGTCAGATGATCTTGTTGGCCGTGGTAACTTGAGAATTTTACAAGCAAGAGTTCCAACTTTTATCATGCCCATTACATGATGGACGAAGGGTTAGCCGCTTTCACTCAAAACGGGCAAATGTCTTTGGTACTGCGCCAACCCTAATGTCGTATTAAGGCTAAATAGCTAAAGTCCAACGGGAATCAGGCATGGTTTTCTGGAGAGATTGACATCTAAAGCTCTTCTTGCATTTTCATAGAAAACAAAGGTGCAGAAAGGAGATTACTTGAAACCCAGCTATACCTCATATATAAGAAATGACCTCCTTACATACATTAAGAACAACTTCCTGACTATTTTGTCTTCTCTATGAATATATATACTATCAATTTCTGCTAATTTTTAAATACACTAATATACTTGCTTTTAGTTGAGCGCCTTAGGGTGACTCCAGAATGATGCTAAAGTATACCAACGTATAAAACTCTATGGCATATCTGAACTAAATGTTAAAGAATGCATTTTGAGTGCAATGCAATACTTTGCACACAAAATGGCAGATACCTCCTATTTGTACAAGATTAGTTACCATTTAATTTCCTTAAACGGTATTGGGTTAGTTTTGCATGCATTGACTTGTCACGTTCAAACACCCATGCTGACTCGCCTTCACCCTTGGTTTAGCCTTGTTGCACAAAGCCCTTTCCTACTACAATTCTTTGAATGGCCAAGGCTAATACGCCATCCGAACACTTATCACAAAGTATTCGTAATATATTACACCATTT